TTCAGTGTCACTGATGACTATGTGATGGATTTGAGTGACAGGCTCACGCTGATCTATGACTGACTCCGAAATTCGAAGTCACAAAGTTGAGTCATAAATCCCAGAACAGAGGGATGTGGTGACACCATCGCATGGCAGGCACGCGGCGGCACCACACGCCCGGAGCTCGCTGCCCAGCACGAGGACATCCCGCTGATGTATTTGTTTGGAAAATCGCGGATTGATTCACCCGACCAGCACACAAATCACACCTGGTCTCGTAATCCGGGCTGACTTAAGGCCCGTGCGTGTGACCTGCCAGGCAGCAGCATTTCCCTGCAGAGGATTTTAGCAGCGTTTCCCTTTGGAAACAGCGAGTTTGAAAGTGAAGGGAAGGACAATGAACATTGCCCAGAACCGGAGCACACGCGTGCCGGGACGCGGCGCCGCTGCTGCTCCGCACGGCGCCCGGGACGCGTGTTGCCGTGGGAGGAAGAGTGAGGGATAGAGGAAGGGCGAGGGATAACCCAACCTCAGCTGGGCTCCAGGTTTAATTAGACACCACAGGGCAAGGGCGCCAGCTCACTCGTCAATGCACCCAGGAAAAGACGATATTCCTGCAGCTCTGCTAATTAATCCAGTGCTCCTCACAAAATATCACACTGCTTAATTAATTCTGGCTAAGCATCTGCAGCGTCCCCAGGTACGGGCAGCACGACACCGCCTTTGCAACCGAGCGCCGTGTCACACATGCACAGGGGCATCGTCAAACCGCACTCGTCAGGTTGCACATCAGTCACAAAAACTGAGGAGCAATTTGTCAAAGCCGCGGCCGTGCTCAGGAACCACAGGGAGACAAGTCGGTCCTTAATCAATAATGCAGCCTCACCTTTCACTTCCCGGGTTTCCGTGACTCGCGCGGTGCAACGACCTGCCTGGGATGAATCTACCCCTCAGAGGGGGGTCTGGCTCCCCAAACCCGGCTCCCCAAATCCATCAGAACACACCAGTGCCACCAGTGCCACCAGCGCGAGCGCCCGCTCCGCACAGCGAGCGCTGAGCAACTCCATGCAAACTCAGACCGACCAAGACCATGCTTTTAACCCCAGTGCTCACCCCGTACGCTAAATAACTGTTCATTAGAGATATTGTTAATTTAGCCAAAATTATTCCGTCTTAATGTTCCCTAAATCGCAGTTGCTCTAACGCAATCCAGGAATAACCCATCAGTGTAATGAAGAGATTTCCCTATGAGACCAGGCAGTCACTTCTCAAGTGCCCTAGAAGTGATAATTGGACTAATAAAATGGTCAGATTTGCAGCACTGAAGGGCTTTTCAACTCGGAATCAATCACTCTACAGCCATTCCTCAGTGCTGAATTCACTGAGCGCGTTGCTGAACTCGTCAAAACCACATTAGTAAAATTAAGTAATTAGTAAGATTAATGCTGTTGCAAAGCTATAACCTGGGCAGAACCCAGATTGATTAGAGTTAATTACATTATTTATACTTACATTATTTATATACTGTTTTCCCTACTATGCAAGGGTAGGAAACATGGAAGAGACGCTCCGGGTCCCAAGGCTCCTGCGCCGCAGACACCGCTCTGGCTGCCGGGGCTAAAGCCGGGGCTAAAGCCGGGACCAGCCAGGCGCCAGGCGCCACTTTGCAGACACCGTCCACGGGTGCCGATCCATATTCATTTTCTCTCAGCACTGCAACTCCGGCAAAAAAATCAGATCTCCTAGAATCACTTTTTTCTTTTATAAAGAAACTGAGTACCCATAATATTTATTGTTGTTATTAACGCAACATGATCCAAGCCCCTCTAATAATCACAGAACAGGAGTCCCGGTACATTTAAATAATTGATTGACTTAGAGCTCACTAATACGAATGCATCGACAAGTATTTAATTGGATCATTACTCGATCCTGCTCCACGCAGGGTATCACGCTACCGATAAATCAATTATGCATCTTCTTGCTACCGCGGGGTTCTGCAGGAGCATCGGCACGTGCTGGAGAGCAGCTGCAGCGGGAGCCACGAGGCACGCACGTGCCACAGGCCATCTGAGCACATTTAACGTTCCTGCAAACATCAACAAAATCACTCGCATATTTTCGTCTTTACCTATTTGACCCATTAACTAACTGCAAAATTTCGCAGTAATCCCCAGCAGATGAGCAGCGGGGAAGAGACCTATGGTCCTGGCTAATCCCTTTACGGGGCAGTAATGCTACAGAAATCAAATACCAGCCGTAATCAGGGGATTAACAATAAACTGGGAAATACACAAATTAAATTGCAATCTGGTTCATGGCCTCACACAGGCCAGCAGCACTGCTCCTACTCCAGCCTTCTCTGGCACAAAAACAAGGCAGGAAATCACTTTATAAAAATGAGCCTCCACTTAATCCTTGATCCCATCAGTAAATAGAGCCTGCCCAGGACAGGGCTCACGCCACACTGCTTCTGGCACGTTTCCACCCTTCCCGATTAGCCTCCATGGGGCAGCTCCCGGCTTCCCAAAGGCACTGGGATGCCCAGCTGGAAGCAGCCTGTGCCCGGAGCAGCAGGCAGGGACGGCACCTCCAGTTATCCAGCTGGAGCAGTGGGAAGGAGAGGGATGTGCTAGTTTACAGAGTGGCAAGGAGCGAGTCCACAGCAGTCTTACCTAATTTTATCTCCCATTTTAATTTTCTACCTTTCAGATTAATGCCGGATGGTTAATTATGTTTCCCTCTCATTTCCCAGACAATCCCCTCTCGTAGGGCACGCTGCAGCCACTCAAAGACTTCATTTCACCTCGAATGCAGCTCTAAATTTAGCCAGCTTGTAATTTTGGGATATTTTATACATTATGCCTTTATTATCACCAAGTAAAATGGAATCCTTGTCTTTTAATTCACTATAATAATTTTCCACCAAATCTTAAACACAAAAGGCTCTTTTCCTCCTGCAGACTAATTGCATGGGTGTCATTACACCACGAGATGACAGAGAGCTCCGTAACCGGGTCCCTCGCTGTGATAAGGGTCCCTCGGCTGCAGGTGGGCAGGAGGGAGGGGGTCACGTGGCAGTCCCAAAGCCCCCAAACCGGCGCTGCGGGTCCCGGTGGGGATGGGACGCCGGGAGCTGCCCCCGTGGTTGTCGCTGCGCCCAGGGCAGTGCTCAGCACAGCCCACACGGCCACTTTTCCATCACGCCCCGGGCTGCAATAGGTGAAAAGCAAGCTTTAAAGGTGGCTGTTATGCAGACAGAAAAGTGGTTTTATATCAAAGTAGGTGTCGAGCTCAACATTTGTGAGAGCAGATCCTAAATGGCACCAACTGGGGGGAAGACGTGTGTATTCAGAGCAGTGCAACCCGCCTTCCTCACCCGGCCCCGCTCTTCTCCAGGCTGTCACCTGAGAGCGTCTGGATAAATTATTCACGCTGTAAGCAAAGACTCCACGAATAAACTGTTGGTTTCAGCCTGGCAACCTCGAGCCCTGCACAGGGCCCCGCGTGCACCCATGGCTTTGCATGCACCCATTGCTCTGCATCACCCATGGCCCCACGTGCACCCACGGCCCTGCTGCACAAGGGCCCCGTTGGTGGCACCGCTCCCGGGTGCTCCACGCGTGGACACGGCCCGAGTGCCGGTCCCCAACGCAGCCCTCGTCCCCAAACAGCCCCTCGCGGTCCGGGGCCGGACGCAGCCCCTTGCAGCCGGGGCTCCCTCCTTCTCTCCGGACCCCACCGTGAGGCCAGGGCCGTGCACTGAACACAGCATGAATTTATCATGGGCAGAGGTCTCTGCTGAACACACATTAGATGCAAACAGCGGAGCGGAGAGACCTTCCCTGGCTTGTAAATCAGCCTGCACAGAATCAAAATCTCTAGACTCATTCAAAATACATCCTTCCCTCTTAACCTCCCATTGAAGGAATTAAAAGAAACTCCAGGTCCTGTGTACTTCAAAAGCACAAAGGATGAAAAACCCGACACAGTAATCCAGTACACTGCAGAACCGGTGTGAAAATGTCCCTGCTCCGAGGACACTGAAATTCAATTTCCAGCGGTTCAGGCACTGACAATGCCGCGAGCACGCCGCAGCCTCGGGCGGCCGCATCTCCTGCACAACAAAAACGCCGGCGCCAACTCTGCGAGCAGAGCGAGGGCAGCGGGGCTCCGCGGGGCCGCGCAGGACGCGGGCTGCAAGCCCAGCGCTCGCTCCAGCAGAGCGGCCGCGGCCGCGGCACACAAAGGGCAGCAGCTCATCAGCGTCGCCGCAGCCACCTCTCTGGCACGTGCAGTGCATCTCCCGACCGTCTGCACACACAATGACAGCAGCAGAACAAAACAAAAACAAAAACCGGGAACAACCCCTCTGTTAAAGAGCAGATGCGATAGAGCAATCTGGGATGCAGCCTGCCCAAAACAGATTCTTTACCTTTTATTTGCTCAGCAAGAACAACGCTCTGACAGCCTTCCTTCATCTCTGAAGGACAAGGTTTTCGCAGAGATTAAAATGCTTTAATGCTGCACAGCGGGCAGGGGGTCCCCCAGCCAGGGTGGGCTCCGGCACTGGCGGCACCTGCAGCCGTTTGGGACGACGCGGTTCACGCTGTCTCCCCCAGAGCGACAATATCCTGGGAAGGGACGTGAGCTCGCTGCCGGGACACAGTACATTTTTATTCATTTATTTTGAATTAATGTATCGATGCCTGTGCCAGTCTGTCGAGATCTCCGGGCGGCCGTCTACGCTGCATCAGGCCTGACCAGGCAGGAGGAAGAAGGGCTCCCCCTTCCCCCTCGCGTTATTCTCAAACGCTCTTGCAAACATCAGTGGTAATTTGATGTCTGGGATTTGCACCGTGGAGAACAGATATTAAGCTAACACCCCGATTAATGCAATTACCGAGGAAGCAAAAACCAGCAGCGCGCTCGGCGGCTGCGTTATCCAGCGCCAGTGTCTGCAGCGGTGTCACTGCTGCCTCCTTCGCCACACGTGGGTTCCGGCCACGCTGTGGGGCAGGAGGACACAACGCGACCCACGGCAGCGGGACCGTGCGCGAGGACAGCGGGACCAGGTCCAGAGCACACACTTGTCCCAGGAACCCAGCAGGGCTAGAAACAGGACAGGACTCTGTATGGATGCAAAGTCCTAATTTCCAGATGGTGACACTGGTTCAGGATCCTGGAGATGGGGAAAGGCGACTCTCACAGCAATCACTTTACCTAAACGAAAGAAGGAAGCAGTGTTGGGGACTGGTGTCTTCCTCTGTAAGTGTCAACATCTCTTACACGATTCGAGGATCTTATTTACCATGATGGAAAAGGAGCCCCGGTGAGCGTGTCCATGATGGGGAGGGTTCCAGGAGTGACAGGAGTCTCGCGAGGGCGTTCCGGAGCAGGATGGCAGTGGTGCCAGCGGTGCGCGGTGTTCCCGGGAAGGTGGCGCGCCCGGCTGGCAAGTGCGGCAGGAGCGCGGCCGGACTCCGGAGCACTGGGAACAGCGGCAGCTCCGTGGAGCACGAGGGCTCCTCCCGGCTGGGATCAGCGCCGCGACGTCCCGCTCTACGTCCTCGCTGTCCCCAATGCTACCGCGTCACCTGCGGGAGGGAGAGGAGGGTCACGCGGGCGCTGCCGGCTCCGGGGCGCGCTGGAGCTTCCCCGCGCTCGGTTGCTGCTCACGGCTCTGAGGAAGCGCTCAGCTCCGCCAGCGTCCCGAACCGCTCCCGCTGCAGCGCCCAGCAGCTTGGACAGCACTTTGCAAGATACAGGAACTCAAGCCATGGCTTCCTGCCCTATCTGCCCATGTGCCTGACCTGGCTGCGCCTGCTCTGTGCTCTGGCTCTGTCCATCACATCGGCATGGTGTTAGTTGAGGGTGAAAGAAGTTACAGCAGTAACTACAGTAGCTAAACCTTATGGAGAGCCCCTGCTACTGCACGATGCTGCCCGCGGCACAAGGGTTGTCTCCTTCATTGCCACGGAAGTGTGAAAAGCAACCCGGGAGCACTGTGATGGACGGATGCTCTGCAGTATGGTCCAGGCTGGAGCCAGGACCGGGACACAACTCCCGGCACTGCCACATTTACACCCGGCATTCAAAAGAGAGGGGACAAATGGAGGGAAAGAGGGGAGGCAGGTAGGGAAACTCGCTGCTGCCCGGTGCAGTTTGGTCATGGAACAAGTTCCTTGCCTTTCTATCGCTTGACTCCTGGCACCTATGCAACAACCTCAGCTTTTGTTAGCAAGACCTTCCCAACACTCTTGCTGGTACAAAAAGTCGGAAAGAATGATCTAGAAGACACCTAAAGAAACAAATGACCCAGGTAGGACATAAACAGCTCTCCCAATTGCTGCTGTTTTCTTAAAATCTCATGACTTAGAATATTCTGTGTCATGGTTTTCAATCCCTCCAGGTTGGTGATGTGTTTTGCATGGATTAGTTTTAGTCTTGTGACAGCCAAATCCCTTCCCTGCTGAGCAAATAATTTGTGACAAAATTCTTTGGAGTGCCACATTTTCCCTTTTCCGCTAATGGATTACCCATGGAGACCTCGTGCTCCCCCTCGTTTATTTGCTGTTTGAAATGATTTTCCTGAAGAAGCCTCTCTGGTATCTTCCCTGCTAATGGAAACGGTCAATCCATTTGCAGTGGGCAAGTTATCTGCCACATACAGCTGATCCTCCCACCTGTGAGTTATCAGCGAACAGTCCCAGCAGATGCAAACACCATTTACTGTTTGCATTTGCTTCATGGGATGACTGTTCCAAATCTCTGCTTGTGGATTATTTGTGCACTCTTTGCTTTGGCTGCAGCTTCACTCCTGGGCTCCGTTCATGCAGAGCAAGAGAGATGCCCCGAACTTTCTGGAGATCCAGACCCGTTCAGTTCAGTGCTTAACAGGGCATTAAAAGTCACTAGTCATTCGGAAAACACAGGTCTGGGTTGTAAAGACACAGCCTCCCTGGGGAGAGGAGCAAACAAGGCAAACAGGGATGTGAGGAGGATGCCAGGAAGGAGATCAGGGCAGCTGGAACAGGGAGGGGAGCAGAAGCTGTGGCCTCTTGTGCATTGAAACGTCGGGAGCCAGGGACAGCGAAGCGCCACGCGCTCCCACTGACATTAGTGGCCGAGGGAAGAATTAATTAACCAATATAGAGGAGGAAAAAAGAAGAAGAGCTAAAAGTAGTGCTGCAATTACTGGTCAGTGATGAATGCCTGGCCAGAGGAACCTTTTCTGATACCCATAAATACATCTGAGCATGAAAGTGCTTTTGGTGCACAAAAGTAACAGCAATAATGGGAAAAAAAAAAAAATCTCCCACATCGTTTTTTTAATGTGATAATTTTACAGCAGGCTATGAGGGGCAAGAAAAGCTAAAGCATACGGAATAATTACACTCAACTGTATGAACAATGATCACAAAATTATGCAACTGATTAACCATGACATATATATAATTACTAATGAGTTTGATAAAATTTTAATTATACCTTGTTCTTTGGGGCGTTCAGCAAGCCATGAAAATAATAATCATGTAGCTGAGTGCTTGGGAGGGGGAAGCAGTGACATCCCAGGGGATGGGACGCTGCCTGCGCGAGCCCCGCTCCCGGTGCCCCGTGCCGGGGACAGCGCTGCACAAATACCTTGGTGGTCTTCACTTTGTTGCCGCTGCTGCAGCTCCAGCCGGAGAGGTCTGGCAGGACCCTGCACTCCTCGCCCTCGAGGCAGGGCTGCATGTGGCACCACCACTTCTGCAGCACGATGGAGGCTGCGAGGAGACGGGGCAGCGTGAGCCCGCGGGGAGCCCGGGAGCTCTCGGCGGCGAGGCGGCCGGCGGGAGCGGCCGGCCCCGGGACGTGCTCCAGGCGGGAATGCGCCAGCCCACGGAGCTCCGGCTCCTGCCCCGTCCCGCCGCGCGGCTGCACTCACCGTCCACGCACGACGGGGCCGCCCGCGTCGTCCCCGCCACCTGCCCCGGCAAGCAGGAGCATTTCACGGTGCGGGAGCGCTCCTCGATCTTGTTCCTGTTGCAGCACCGGTGCGCAGCGACCACCTCACACGTGCCGGGCTCCGCGTGCGCTGCAGGAGGGGACACGAGCACCGTCACCCCGGCGCCATCCGGCCCCCCGCTCCGAACGGCCTTCGCCCGGGAAGCGGCTCATTGAAACGAGCGGGCACATTAGTTAATTGGAGCCGATAACGAGACGCTGCAAAGGGGGATGGTGCCTTGCGATGTGTGCGGCTTCAAAGAGAGCGATGCCACCTCCGACCTCGGCCCTCATCACAGCCGGGAGGGACGTTCCCATCTCTCACCACCCTCCTCCTCCGCAAGGGAGGCACTGGGGGCACTTCCCCTGACACAGAAACGTCAGCGTCTCCACCAGAAACCCAGGCTGCTCTGCGGTTCTCCCACCCCAATGCCGTTAAAACATTAAAGAGCAGCTGATGTGCCAGCTTCTCACCTCTGGGACACGGGGTGGAACCTAGTTAGCATCACAAAGCAAGGAATGGCCTTCGCTAATGGCCCACAACCCGCAATGTAAATCAGTGCCCACACCCCCAATACAAATCGGCGCCCACACCCCCAATACAAATCCAGGGCCCGGCTCCCAAACCTGGCACACAGGGCTGGGCAATTACCAGAGCTTTTACTTGGCCTTATTTATTGTTATTTCATGGTCATTTTCTGCTAATGAACCACTGCTTTCATATCTGCCCGTAATAATTACACAATTACCTATCCTGGAAGTATTTGTAATAGCATCTCTGGCCATACATTTTAGCCTCCCTTCTAAATGTCATCACAATTCAGTCTTAATGAAGGTTTCTGCGCTTGCTGAATGCAGAGATGATGGACCCTGGTCAAAGCAGGGAGGAAAGCAGCTCATGACAGAGCGAGCAGGGCTGCGTTTCGCCTGGCTTCCAGGGCCAATGGGATTTTCCATAAATCTCAGCCACGAGCTGCGTTCCCCGGGCTCAGCTGGCCGCAAGCACAGACCCCAAGGAGCCGGCCCGGCCCCACGTCCTCCCTCTCACCAGCCTCGCACCCAGACGCACTGGGACTCTGCCTGAACCAGCCATTCAGCCTCGCGGCTCGTGCACGCTAGTGCTTTGGACTCGCTCTTATAAACTCTCTCTGCAGAGCTTCATTAGCAGAGCCCTTCCCAGGAGGAAGGCCCAGATGATCCTCCTGCTCCCGCTCACTCCAGCTCCCTGGCTTCTCATTTTCAGCTAATTTAAAAAGATTCAGCCGAGGGACAGCAAGGCAGAACTGAGAAATCGCTCATTAGAGGCATTCAATAAGAGTTCACTAACACGCCAAAGCCCTTTTAATTTCCTAAAAAAAAAAGGTGCAGCGGGGAGATAAAGGGAAATTAGAATCTCCTCCCTGCTAGCGCTGCTGGTTTCAGCCCATGGCAGGTACAACCGGCTGCGGATCCCGGGCTGCGCACCGTGCCCTGTGCACTGGGTCCGGCTCCGGTGCCCGCGCGGCCTGGCCGCATCCAGAGGGCTCCGCAGGGCACCGGGACCACGTCCCGGAGCTGATGCTCCCACCGCGCCGCGCGGGGAGCGCCCGGGGCTGCCGGCTGCAATGGGGCTGTTCCAAAGCCCCGTTTTCCCCCCAAAGTGCGGGGCTGCCCTTCCCAAGCGGCGGGTGCCCAGGGCGGCGGCGGGAGCCGCAGGATTCCCTGCAGGGCTTCCCTTTGTGCAGGGAGCTGCGCGTTGGACACGGCTGGGAGCTGCTGGCGTGCTGAGCAGCGCGGGCAGGAGCCTGCAGGCGCCCGGCACACACCGCAGAGCTGCTGGCTCGCTCGTCCCCCAGTTTAACTGTTATTTCCCCACTGGAACCTTTTGAAAAATCCTTATCTCATGGAGCCATAAAAGCATTGTAAAAGCACCAGGCTTTTGAATCCTGCATGTGAAAATAAAACAAAAACGCTGTCCTACTCTGCCTGACCTTTAAAGGAGCAGCAGAGCATGTTTTTTATGGCATGACCTGGAATGACACCCTTTGTCTCACAGAGGTGCGGGCATGGCTGTCCTTGTTCAGTGTAAAATATTGCTCCGTTTCCCAGTGCAAAGTTGTAAAAGAGGAGAAGTTCAACGCATTAAAAGTTCCCAGCAGTGCCCCAGCCCTCTGCTGCACAGCAGCTCCTTCCTGGGCACCCGAGTGCCAGTGAGTGGCTCCAGAGTGCCCCCCGAAGGGCTGCACGATCCCTGGGAAGCAGGTGGGAAGCGGGAAGTGGCGCCCAGCCCCAGGACAGGGCAGGAAACGCAGCCCCCGGCTGCTGGGCGGGCAGATCCAGCTTTCCACAAGGAAATTCCTTCTGGATTCCTCCGGATCCAGCTTTGCCACAAGGCACTTCCCAACCTTGTCCCTCTGCCCAGATCCTGTGTGGGTCAATCCGCTCCTTGGGGAGACCCTTCCTCCTCGGTGGGGAGCGCCCCGTGCAGCAACAGCTCCACTACTAATACCCACTAAATAATTAAAGTCTAAAATCACTACTGCCTACGACCCATGCATTATTTACAAGGGTTTTGCAGAGAAGTAGACCTGTTTTTATTGCTCATTATCAGTGCATGTCAGCAGGGCTTTTTTACTGCGCTGCTGTATCGCAATTTCAGATCATCCTCTGTTCCCCTTTGCCATATGTGCAAGCTCCAAATCCCATCCCTACAAACTTGCAAGCAGAAAAACAAACGCAAGGACAGCGTGGAGAACAGCTTAAACTGTTCCGACGCCGTGTGTCAGAGAGGAACCTAAATGGAAACGTTACAGCTGGAGCACAGAGCAATCTGCCTTCCTGTGCAACACAGGGCGCAGGGCTGGTGCTTCCCACGCACCCAGCCACGGCTCCTGATCCAGCAGAGACGGCTGAGAAAAACATTCTGTCTTGATTTAAAGGCTGCACATCACCTCCTCGAGCAAAGGGGGGCGGGTTGCAGAGGCCTCTCACAAATACAAGCCATCTAGCCACCATCCTTGCTCCAAGGGATGACATGCCAGCCAGTAAATCTCTCCTTGAGATAATCAGAAATCTGCTCTTCATTCCTCCAGAGAGCCTCGCTTTCCAACAGCAAATCCTGGCTGTGAAAGTGTCCGTACTGCTCCGTGCCAAGTGACGGCAGCGAACAACAGCACAGGGGACACTCCAGCCTTGCAGCGAGGCAGCTGGAGCGTCCACGTGGCAGCCACCTCCAGACCAGCAAGCCCTGCTCATCACGGGGAGCTCCACCAGTTGTACTGGGGACCAAATTGTTGGTGCATCATCCTTCACCGAGGAACTTCCTATCCCATTTCCAAAGACAATCTCAGCACTGGATCCATGTGGCTATTTAGGTCCTACCACATAACGCAGGAAGCACTGCCCTGCTTGGACACATTAGCGTTCTCCCTGTGTTGAGGGGACATAAGTGATCAGATCTTATTTCCAAAGCCAGATGTTTAAAATGCCCAGGAAAATAAGAGATGGACAGTACAAATGCACAAAATTCTCACAATATTGGCACGTGCAGAAAGTTTGTTAATGCAGAGACACAGAGCAGGGGCAAACCTTGACGTATTTGCTCCTCTGTGGCCTCTTTGCTGCGGGCTAGAATTGCCTGAACAGGAAGCACAAGATCTGCTCCATGGTGGATTTCTCTGCGCGAGTGAAACCCCTCCTCTCCCGTGAGCACGGGAATACATAAGCAGATCTGTTTACGTTCAGAGCCAGCCTTATCCATAATTCACACCCGCATATACACTTGGGCAGCTGCACTTTCAAAGCCTCTGCACTTTCAAAGCCGTCTGCCGGCCGAGCCTCTGCTTTGTGAATTCCCGCTCTGGCTCCTCCCCAAAGCAGGAGAGCTCCTGCCCCGCGGCACGGAGCCGGGCAGCGCACGGAACCTCCCCGGCACCACTAATCAACAGCACCCAAATCCCGGGCGCTCCTCCGCAGCCCACGGCACACATCCCAGGGCTCGGGAAGCCCACAAGTGTTGAAAACACATTCGGGGCGGCGTTTGCAGCAGAGGCCTTGCTCCGAGCAGCCCCACGCACGGGGCTCCCTTGGGCGCTGGAGCCCGAGCTCAACCAGAAACACCCCACAGGTGACCTGGGAGCTTTATCTTTCCATGCTCCTGCGGCAGGTTAGGAAAAGGGGAGAGCAGGTAAGCGCTGACTAGCCGGTTGGCAGAGTCGCTCTGGAAGATGCGTTTGGGTTTTAAGCAACGAGGATGGGGATTATAGGATTAGAACTGCTTTAACTATCAGGGAAAAATGACAAAAATAGGACGGGGCAGGGTGAGGGGTCAGGCGATAGCAGGAACGTTCTCAATTAACCTGCAAATATCCTCTTTTCCAGGCAGAGTACATTGGGCATCCCAGCAGCATCCCATGGACCGGAGCCGCAGGCTCGGCCGGTGCTGGAGCCGCCCGCGCAGCTCTGGCGCAGCGCTCATGCGCTCTGCCTGCGCGGCGAGCATCGCGTCCCCTACCTGCATGGCTTCTGTGGTGGGCAGAGGCCAGCGTCAGTCTTCCCCACAGCGTCGTAAGGCAGAGAGTGAGCAGGAAAACCCATTTGCTGAAGCTCTGTACGTCCCTCTCACTCATTCTGCCAAAGGCAAGAGGAGAGATCAGGCGATGTGCGAGGAAGGGCGGCGGGCGGCCACGCGCACCAGGCTGCCATGTGCGGAGCATCGAGCGCGCGGCACCGCGGGCGAGGGTCCTGCCGGGGCAGGGGCACGTGCGGCAGGTTCTCGAGTGCCCGGGGCAGCCGCTGCTCGAGCAGTGAGGCCCGTGGAGGCAGGTGGGGAGTCACGGAGCAGCAGAGCCCTTTACCTCTTACTGGGGTTTTGCAGCGAAGCCCCGTGCGCCCGCCAGCCTCCGGGAGCGGCGCCTCACGCGGGGCGGCCAGCATCAGCTCACCTGCAAGGGGAGAGAACGGGCGCGTGGCTGCGGTGCCCGCGGCGAGGGCAGTGCCCGCGGCGGCACCGTCTCCCCGCGCGGCACCGCGAGCCCCCGCGCGCGGGGCGGATCGGGCAGCACCTCCTGCACACGCGCTTGCAGGCACCGGCCGGGCACTGACACCTGCGACAGGCCGCACGCTGCAGCCCCCGCGCGGCACCACGGCCGCCGCTGCCCCCGTCTCGCACGGTGCCACCCCGGCCACCCGTCCTGCCCGCGCGGCCGCACGCGGGGACGAGCTGCGGCCGCTCGCGTTGCACGCGGCTGCTCCCCGGAGCGAGGCCCGCGCTGCATCCTGCAACCCCGTGGAGCTGCTCCACGGACCGTCACCATCTTCCCAATTACCCTGCTTGGAATCCAGCAGGGATCCTGCAACATGCTCGCAAAACGAGGTGCCGGAACAGAAAACACTGACATTTTTAATCAAAACAAAGTGATCTGAGGCGGTGAAAGGGCATTTCTTGTTTTGAAGCATTTCAAAATGAATTGTTCTGTTTTAAACTGACATTTCAAAACGAGAAATGTTTCACTCCAAAATGCTTATTTAAAATGATATTTCCCATTCTGATTCTCCCAGCTGGAAGAAAAATCACAAAATGTCACCAAAACTGTTGACATTCACCCAGAAAAAATTGACAAAATCATGGATTTTATGCAAGAAAATTCACGGGCGAAAGCTGGCACCGGGGGACAGCGAGGCGGCAGGAGCCGCTCGGCCAGCGCCGGGGGCCGGGGCAGCGACCTCGGCGGGCGGATGTGCAAGGAAGCGGCTCCATGCGGGACGCGAGCAGAGGTGACAGGAGGCGGGTGGGCTCGGGGGCCGGCGGCGGCGCCGCAAAGAGCCGGTTTTCACGCACTGCCCGCGCCGCGCGGTGCCCTCGGAGGCGACCGCACCGCGCGCTGCTTCCTCGGGGAAAAGCAGGCGGCCCCTCGGAGCAGCGCGACTCCCGGGGACCTGCTCCCAAGGGAGCCCAAATGGCCCAAATCCCTCCCGGCCAGGCCAGGAATCAAGCGCGCCCTCAGCTCCTCCGCAGCCCCCGGCACATTCCAGGGCTCGGGAAGCCCTCAAGGGCTGAGCTATTGGCTCTGCTGAAAAACCACAAATAAATCACGGGGGGATCAAGAACACAGCGCTGCAAGGGGGGCTCACCCAGGGCTGCAGAGCGAAGCGGGTGCAGGGACGCGATGGTGGCCCCGCGCGCCGGCGGTGCCATCGCCAGCCCGGGCCGGCGCTGCCACGCGCGCCCCCGCTGCAGAACGCAGCTCCACAGAAACGGGTATCTTGACAGTTTTCAACACCCATCATCATGAGACTCAAACTAAAAATGTTTGGTCTGACTTGAAATTTTTCAGTCTGGAATGTCATTTCGAAATGAAGCGTGGTGTTCTGTCACGTCAAAGCACTTAATGTTAACTGAAAATATTGCTGCTTTGCATTCTGCTACTTTCTGTTTGGGATTTTGATCTCACTGGCATTTCTCGTCAGCTGCTGCTTTGCCGGTCTCTTCCAAGCTGGACACGAAGGAGCTGCGGAGTGTCGGAGCCTCTCCGAAGGCAAACATCCTTTGGAGATGAGTGCTGCTCGGATGGTGCTGAGAGCTGCTCCGATGGCACCAAACATCTCCACGGACACGATGCTCACATGGAGGACAACCCTGATGCAAAGCCACCCAGGAAAGCGCCAGCTCTGGGGCAGGCAGGGCCTGGCAGGACAAGCCAGAGTGCGCAGCCACCTCTGCTCCGCATCGGTGCGGAGCTGCGGCTCCCCCAGCTCCGCGCTGCACTCACACCTCGGCCCTTCCGACAGCAACTTTAATTTTTTAACACCTTGCTGGAACAGCACAGAGCTCCCCGTCATGCTCAGGGAGCCTTCAGCGCTACCTGCAAAGGCTCTACGGGCTGGATAGCTGTGCTGAGCAAAACTTCACCCCCGTCCCAAAACAGCTAGAGAGGAGCAGGGTTTCCGCAGGTTTTCCACAGGTTTAGGGTTTTCCACAGGTTGTGTTGCCAAACAACATGAGGGTGCTCCAGCCCAGCTCCAGCACCATCAGCATGGTGCAGCGGGGGCACTCAGCAATTTCTTCTTCATATTCCCCTGAACAACAGAGTGGTCGCATGAGGTGGAACACAAGATAACTGTGAACTTCAGTGAGCGGGTTAGCCCAGAGCCGTCCTCCAACGCGACGAGGTGCAAGGGCACACGGGCCCGGCAACGGAGCCACACGGGGCACACACATGGGGCTGCACAGGGTGCACACATGGTGCCACATGGGACACACACATGGTGCCGTGTAGCTCCCGACGTGGCTCACAACGGCGCGGCCGAGCCAGGCCCCTCGCGCGGCAGGCAGGGCCGGACCTCCCGCTCTTCCCTCCCCACTCGGATGCTGTTCCCAGGAGGACACTGTCCTGCCTGTGCCCCGAGGCAGAGCCCTGCAGGCACTCCTGGGCACCCGCAGCAACTCTGAAGGCACAAGAGCCTCCAGAGAAGCTGGTGCCTCCTTGAAAGCCTCTGGCGAGCAGTGAGGTGTCTCCACGGCCCCCTGGGGCGGTGCAGCACAGGCTCCGGCTCTGCCTTTGGCAGCAGGGTTGGCACCGCCCTCCTTGCCCTGGCTGCAGAACCACCCAGATCCTCTGCTGGGGCAGGTGAGGAGACATTCAGACCCCTCCCGGGCCATGGGCCCAGGACCTCCGAGATATCCCCATCCGGGGGGAAAGCTGCAAGCTCCGAGGTGTCTGGGGCAGCTGCCCAGCAAGGCGCTCCCCTGTACTCTGGACACGGACTGGCACCAGCAGCAGCAGCAACTCCACGCCAGCAGCCCGGGGTGCAGCAGTGCAAGCCACCGGGCCGGCTCTGAGCACCGCTAGCCGCAGGCAGGACCGCGACAGCACCGCAACCCCTGGGCAGTTGCCCGCGGGGCTGCCTGGAGCAGCGCCCAGCACATCCCTGCAGCGCTGCCGGAGCACCCGGCACCCCCGGACGGGGGAAGCCCCGGGGCTGTCTCTCGGCACGAGCCCCGGGCCGAGCCTCGCAGGCGCCAGGGCCGCGGTGGAGAAGGGCGGCCTGGCCCGGGGCTCCGCGGGCGACCTGCCCTCCGGCCACCCCTGCCCTCCGGCCGCGCTCGAGCTGCCCTTGGTGCCTCCTCCCCGCGCGGAGCCTCCGCCGCGGGCAGCGCGAGCCCCGCGCCCCG